CACCGTTTCTAATTTCATGGATTATTCGATATGTTGTACATAGTTTATTTGAATTTAATGTTCTAACTAATCTTGCCTTCGGAAACTTATGCCTCGTGTTTATTTTAGCCGCCGTCACGTTCTCTTAATCGGTGTCCTCTCTTTCCGCTGAAGTCTCCTCGGGCAGAACAAAATCAGTCTCCCGTATTGGTTCCTTGCACACCTGAATAATCTTGCAGTTTAAAAAAAATATACGTTTATCGAACTGTTTTGTTGTTTTGTTTTACTACACTACGTTGCTCCTTATCTCTGACTGAAGGTTAGGCGTAGTTTATAAGCATCAAAATTAGTTTATTTTAAATTTAAGTATTATTTATTGATAACTTATGTGAATTTGTCTGTCCATCATCATTATTATTTTCATAATTTAATTATGTATAGGAGAATGTTATGATTGACAGACGTGTTGAAATTAGGATTTGGCAAAATAGGCGTAAGTTTGTCTTCATTTCGAATCTTCCTCTAGTTTATAATTTACAAAAGGAAGCACCTAAGCCCATTGCTATCATATGCACTTGTCCCACTGAAAGTTTTCCACAGTATGGGGATGTTTATCATGGGTCAATTACTCGAAGTGAAACAGAGCGTCTTCTTGAAAATGCTCCCAGCGGCTCTTATTTGATTCGCGCAAGCAAACGCGAAGAGGGCGCAGTCACTTTGGTTATTCGGTAAGTCTATTCATTTTAGATTTGTGCATAGCTTTGATGGTCAGACGAAAAACTTTAAACTCAATTACGACGGTGAGAATATGCTGCATTATGTCGGCGAGCAACGGTTTGACAGCGTCGAATTATTAGTTGCAGATGGACTTATCCATTTCTATGTCGAGTCTCGTGGTGCTGATGTGCTGGCGAGAATGGCAGAGGCTAGCAATTACGAAATGTCTCCTTATTACAAGGTAATCTATCCTTTTTGTCCATGAAATTTCATTCTAAATCTTTTGCCTTATTCTCCTCTCGTTGAAAAATTCAACCTAACCTCAAGTTTTTCTTTTTCAGGCCCGCTATCAGCTTGTACATCCTTCAGCTGATCGAGATAATTGTATCAAACTTTCTAGCTCTGGTGTTTCTACACCGCCTGCCCTTCCCCCGCATCA